AAGCACTTTCAAAATACAGTGCTCGGTAATAGACCTATCTCGTATAATTAGAAAAAGAAAGCTCAATAATTGTAATAAATACAAGTTAGAAGGCAATAAAAGATGACATGCGCGCGCAACTCGTAGGCTGCAGTGTATCCAGATTGTATTGTTGCAAAACTAATGTACACTATAAAAATCGAACATTATAACATTAAAGAAGTAATATAGTGTGAAGTGTTTTACAACGCCTTAAATCACACAAAAGAAGAGCTTTAAAGTGGATGAACATCGTTTGCACTTTTATTTTGATAAATGTTTTCAATGTGTCAAAGGAATATGTCAAGTATAATCTAACATAACCTTAAACGAAACTGCGGTGAGTTCAAGTAATATGTAAAGTATTAGTTTACTCTTTGTCAAATTACACGTTACAAAGAAAGAAGGAACGATTCATTCTGAACTGGCCCCTGAATGAGAATATGACGCAAGCCTATCACAAACTTGCTTCTCATTGGACGCTCACCTGCAGCCTACAAGCGACGCGCGCAGTCCAGGTAATAGGAGATCGGTCTATTGGTAATCGAAGCCCTCTTTGAAAAGTGCTTGGTAATTAGTAATTAATTTTCGCATTTCAAGCCATTTAAAGTGCTTGCAAGCAGTTAAAAGGCTTGCAAGCACTCAAAAGAGCTTGCAAGCACTATATAGGCTTGCAAGCACTAAAAATCAAGTCCTTGGTAAGCTATAATGTGATTGGCTGGTTGAAGGCCGTCTCGGCCTGGCTTGCGATAGCACGGGCCGTGAGAAGCTAGCTTTATAGTTGACTTATTTTCGCACCTCGCTGGCAAAGGCAATATGCAATATGCAACACTATTTACTAACACTATACACTATACTACCACGGTTTATTAAAGTCTTTATCTTTAGTTATAATAATGTTAATATTCGGATACAGTGTAGTGTAGTGTATGTAGAGTGAAGAGACGAAGACTAATCATAAATTAGGAACAAAAAACTTTGGTTTGATCATTTCATTATAACTATCATCATATCAACCAAAAACGTTAAAACTTATTACGTTTCAAATTGCTTTCTCCCCAGAACCCAATTCAGCAACATCTCTATTTTAAAAATAAATTGGAAACAATTGGAAAAGTAGTGCTTGGTAATTGGTAATTTATTTGAGAAAAAAGTGCTTGCAAGCACCTGCAAGTAATTAACAGTGATTTTAAGCACTTTTTGAGTAATTGGTGCTTGGTGATTGAATTGTGCAATTACTTTCCTTGGTAATTGGTAATTGCAAGCACTAAGAATTTATAAAGTGCTTGGTGCTCGATGCTGGCAATTCCTTTTCCTAAGGGCTTGATGCTTGGTGCTCCAAGCACTTTTTTTTGAGTGCTTTGCCCAGCTCTGCCACCCCTAATATTTTTTTAGACTGAGCTAACTGAGCATATTATGAACCCTTAATTAATTCATTAATAAAAGGGGTTACAAATTATAAATGCATTTAACCAGGCATACAGGAGAATCAGCGTAGACCTAGAGGTCAGCTTTGACAAGCCGCAGATTCTGCATCAACCTGCAATGAATATTAATCCCCAAGCCACAAATATAACTACTTCCAACGCTACTACAAATGACCAGCTATCTAGTCAACCATCCAAGGACCTTTTTTTTCAGTTATACATGTAAACCCCATACTTTGTGAGTGGCTTGCTTACATCAAGTCCTACAACTTTTCCTCTACGACTTTTCTCGGAAATGGCACGTATGCGCGCAGGCGACTCGCAAACATTTTAGGGGTATCGGACTCCCCCAATTTGCCATTATTTTTGTCGGCCAAGTTGATTTCCGTGATTTAGAAATAAAAATCAAACATTATTCGTGAAATTAGATTTTCATGTATCAAGAAACATAACCACGTCAGATCGACATTTTGGGGGTATCGGACTCCCCCAATTTGCCATTATTTTTGTCGGCCAAGTTGATTTCCGTGATTTAGACATAAAAATCAAACAGTATTCGTAAAATTAGATTTACCTACATGTATCAGGAAACATAGCTACGTCAGATCGACATGTTTGCGAGTCGCCTGCGCGCATACGTGCCATTTCCGAGAAAAGTCGTAAAGGAAAAGTTGTAGGACTTGATGTAAGCAAGCCACTCACAAAGTATGGGGTTTACATGTATAACTGAAAAAAAAGGTCCTTGGATGGTTGACTAATCTGTCAGCGAATGCAAACATTAACGCTGAAATCCAACCTCGCTCGAAGTGCGCTGGCGCAGCGTTCGAGCGGCTTCTAGAGGGAGTCTTCAACAATCACATCGGCGCTAAGATCAAACTTCGCGTTCTCGATGCAGCTCTAGTACCAGCACTTACATAATGACTGCGAAACATAGACCACATAAAAAGCCTGATGGTACAGCGATGCCTAAGAAGGATCCTACGGATTCAATGGCAAGACCGACGAACAACATTAGTGATCTAGAGGTGGCCAAAACCTTTGACCAATTATACAGTCATTAGGAAACGCAAAATCGACCACAATAAGAATAGAATAGAAGGTAATCATATTCGGTATCGAGTGATCGCCTATGATGACTATGGGGAAGCTTACAAGTTACACTCAAGTTAGTAGGTTGCGTTGATGTGATTTATTCTTCACTAGCCAGTACAAAATTTCCATGTGATTTACGGGATTCAAAAGAGTACTTGCCTAAATTGCTTGTGATGCTGTTTTCTTGATTTAATCTATGGTTACCTACTGTTTTATGTTAGCATATTTATTATCCAATTATAAGTATGAGAATATTTTTTTTGTGACCTGTAACCTTTATTATGTAATAAATTGAGATTCCCATTAAATAAAAATTAAAAGATATTGCTCTTCCTGACGCCTGGCCTATCGGTGTGTCTTTATATATTATGTAAATGTGTTTTTAATAGTTTATATTTATCAGTCTTCTGGAATATGTAGGTAATTTGTTTTGCAATGGTTCTTTATTTAATTCTTATTTTCCATTGGGCCATACAAATTTCGTTTTTCTTGATAATACGACACTATGTACCTATTATAATAATTCTAATATAGTTTTGGCCTTGATTGAATGAGTTCAGGATGATGTATTATGCCCGTAGAAAAAAAATTGTCTTGGCGAAAGCGAAGAACTAATTCCATACTTATTCAATCAACGTTTTTGGTTGAAATCTTACCTCTCGGTAACCGTTTCGACGAATGCCTTTGATGTTCATTTTTAACAATTTCCACAACAGTGTCAGAAAAGCCAATGTCGTGATGCAACTGGCCGGGATGTCTTTTCCTAGGTGAAGGACTACGTTGTAATGAAGGAGAATTACCCCTTCTTTGGGAAGGAAAAAAATCATAAATCCACTCCAGATATAGATCAAATTAACTTGCCTGATACTGGGACTTCGTCTATGAGAATTACCATAACCAGAAGGATGAAGATGTTGGTGTTGCTCAACAGTACTGTCACACGAAGGTCTCCGTGAGCCCAGAACATCCACTAGCTCCGTCATCTACACAAATGACGAACAGAAACAATTAAATAAAACTATTCTACTACTAGTCAATATGTCTTTTGAGTGAGATGAAAATGTCCTTGTATGTATGTTGAGTAAAGAAAGGTAGGTATAGTTTGTGTAGCGAGCTACTTGAACCTGTTTGGTTGTTCTTCCACCACAACTACTAAACTTACTATGGAATCAAAGAAATCAGTAAAAGAAGGACAACCATGATGAAGGTATATGAGTGATGCACACAAAAATTCAAGTAGCTTTGATAGAATATAAAAATTGTGTCGTAAATATGAAAGATTTTTGAGAACTAAATTAAATCATTCTCTAAACCTCATTCATAAAACAGATTCCTTGCATGTGCAATTGAAAGAAACATGCATATTTTTTTTGTAATGTAAAACTAGACGAGAAACATGCATCAAGATACATTAAAAGTGAAAGATAATATGAGAGACAAAGAAAATTATTGATTCCTAGATGTCTCATATTATTTGTGGAAAATAGATGAAAAATGCTAAAAAGGATTTTAACCTGTTGTGCAAATTACAATAAAGTGCATAAAATTGTAATTTGTCCTCTTGTTTTAGACATCTAAAGTATAAAAGTTGAAAATAGTCCCATATTCAGGTTAGTAAAAAACAACCAATGAGCATGCTCAGCCATACTCTATATAAAATAAAGTTAGATTCAAGAGGTAAAGATGCTACAAATTTCCTTTGTGTTAGTGGTTGCAAACAACCATATTACAGCGACATTGAATTTTTGTTTTTAGAGAAACTTGGATTTCAGCTTCAAGAAGAATCATTTAGGGACGAAATGAGGTAGATGAGTGACTTATTGTTGAGCAGTGAAAAAATACTTTACTTTTAATAGATGAGAATATTTAAAAATTATAAATCAGATATAGTAAAATGATTCAATATTTTTCACCACTTCAATTATTAATTCTGTATATATTCAAATATAACGGGTCTTCAAAAAAAAAAAAACAATCAAAGATTGCTATGGTTTTTTAAGCGCATGTCTTAGCAATATTTTTTTTAAATTTTGTCAATGAACTTTAATGTCAAAATGTCATGTCAAAAATTCTGACCAATAAAGAAACAATAATGCGACGTACGTTTTCGTAACTAAAGCGCTCTTTGTATTTTTTTTGAAGACTCGATATTAAAAACAAAATATATATTATTGTAATCACTGTGGTGTTGTCGCAATTGATTAGTGGGACTGAGTTGCTTACCCAAGTAGGTATAGGTACCTAAACTCAAAAAAGAAAAAAAAAATTGCAAGTTCCAAGCTTCTCAATTAGGTGATAATGTATTAAAAAATTTGAAATGAATGTTCTGTTCTACACAAATAGTACTAAGGTTAGCCGCAACCACAAAAGCTAGCGCTGTAATACAGATTGAGTAATTGTGAGTTGTTAGTTCAAAAAACATTTAATACGGCACTGGCTATGCTTTTTTTCACTAAAAAATACCTTCTATGACTTGTTCTAAGACTATAACATCAGTTTTCTGATGAATCTGTAAAAAGAATATCGATTTTTTCTGCAAATAACACATTAACATTCTAAAAACAAAACGGTTTATCTGTTCTATTGTCTAACTATTTGAATAAATCAAACAAATTCTAATTTAACTAGGTTTTTAAAATTTGTTTTAATAAAATTTCGTCTCTTGACCTATTTTTCTATATTCATTAGAATTGTTTTAACAAACAAGTCGGTTTTAGGATGATCACCTTTTTGCTCCTGAAATAAAAAAATGGACATCAATTAAACAATTAAAAATAAAAACTGACTTATTATTTACCGTAAGGATCTATTCCGTTTCGTATTTCGTCTGGCCAACGAAATGAGTGCATTTTCCTCGTGCTGCTGCTGATCGGAGTGTTCTTGTCCCCCCATTAGGGGTGCACCCTCAAGACTCAGCGAACCTGTCCTGGAACCTCCCAGGTGTCCAGCCATCGTATCCATCAGACAATCGAAAAATGATGCTTTCTGTTTTTGAAAATTTGACAGTTCAATAGTTAACTGAATATTTTGGGGAGGGGTTAAAGATTTAATCTCTGCTAATCAAAAATTTATACCTAAATGTTAGCTATTAATAAAAAAAACTTTGAATCGCAAGCTTCAAAATTAAAAGAATTGTTTTTTCTTTTTTTGTAAAAATTGTTAATGTATATAATATGTATATACACAAAAGTATAGCGGTGGCCGTATTTACAGTTTTTATAAAAATGTTTTGTGTTTATAGGGATAATAAAAAAAATTTAGCTACATGCAAGAACTTTTAAGTGAAAATTAAGTGAAGACCTATTGAAAATGAAAGGATTTTCAAATAGGCAATTTGTGAAGAAGATACATGATTAGCAACCTAATTGTTAAATTAATTATTAAAAATAAGTTCGCCTTTAAACTCGTGAACATTTTTTTAAAAAAGTAGCAAACTAATTCAATAGCGCAGGAACCCAAACCTCGAAAAAAAAATTCTGTATAACTTCTGGCTATTGATCTAGAATCTCAGGTTCATTCAAATACTCACAAAGTCTCCAGAAATATCCGTCATGAAAAATTTTCACAGAGCTGCCAAAATCGTCATTTTTAGTAGATTTTTTTGTATTTCCCGAATCGTTAGCCTGATCGTTTCGGAATTAAAACATTGACTTGAAAGATAGATAGAGATTTGTTTTAATCTGACCTCCATTTTTTCTGGAGTACCTCATGTTTCGTCCTCTGACTCCATAGTCTTGATAGGTCCTCCTGCATGTAGGTAGCCGCTTCTCTGGCCTCTGATTTTGTTGGCTTGACTGACACCATAGGAATTTTATTTTTCTCTGAGCATACATAGTGAGAAATTTTTCGCTAGTGTACCTACTGTACAACGTACAACATTAATCGTAAAACTTGCTGCAGGATTTTAGATTTTTATTGTAGTAGCACCTACCTACAAGCGAGTACAGAGATATTTTCAAGACGATAAACAGAGAACTAGCAAGGACCTAGGATCTAACAACAACCAGCTAGTAGGTACAGAGAGTTATGGAATAAAATTCAATATGAAAGTATTGAAGTCAAACATACCCGAAAAAAAGAAATAGCTAGGTATATACCGGAGAACTCATTCGGTACGGTATACATACAAAAAAGTTATAATAAATGTTATTTAGAATTTCTGTAAAAATGTCTATACATCAACACTTCCTAAACCAAATATTGCAAGACACAACATTCAAAATATCGAATCCGAAGCGATCCCAGAAACGAATGAAGCCGAATTAAGGAAAACCTCAATAGGGTAGAAATCCTTAAAAAAGGGACAAACAAACTAGAAGGACCCAGAGGTCCTATGGAGTAAGCAATAGCTCCTTGCAAAATCGTCTAAGTGAATCTGCAACACAGGGGCAAAGGGGCATCCGATGTTCTTAGCCGCAGATTCACTCAAGAACCGTGGATACGAGTCCTGTCAAATCCGTCGCGGAGGCAACAGGCGTTTGATTTGCTGACTCGTGTGTGGTGTCAAGGTCGACAGAGAGTGGTGAGAAATTACTAACCAATTTCCATTTGTAAATTTGTATAACATCATTTCTTTGTAAATTTACACATCTACCCATCCCCAACAAACCCCAACACAAAAATGTGTGACCCTGGGGGGGGGGGGCGGCCCCCCTATTAGTCAACTTGAAAATCCTAATAATATTGAAGGCCAAGCTCCCAATCCAAAAAAACCAAAACATAGTGATAAACAAGATAATAATGTAAACTTTATTGTCCCAGCCCGTCCAAGATTTGAAAGAATTTACAATATTAATGATTCAGTTTTTTTACTAACGGTAGAATCCGAAAAGGATAATATTGGAAAATTTTCACAAATAAAAATAGCTAAAGAAGTATATATTTCGAAACTTAATAACATCAAAAAAATCGAAATACTAGGCAGAAGTAAAATAGGAGTAGAATTTTTCTCGCATCTCGCGGCAAATGAAATTTTAGAAAATCAAAGTTTAGTGGGAAAAGGGCTCAAAGTCTCGATTCCATATAATTATACTTCTTGCAAAGGAGTAGTCAGATCAGTGGATATCGACCTTTCTGAGGAAACATTAAAAAACGACATAAGATTCAACTCCAACACAGCTAGTCACAAAGTTAAGAATGTTATTAGGCTCAACAGAAGAGTAAACAATAACTCAAAAATTCGAAACACAATCAACCCAACCAACTCCCATCCCTAATGCCACCAAAACCAACGATTATCAGTATGTTCCTACATATTCAATCCTAGTTACTTTTGAGGGAACAGTATCTTATGCCCAGATATATCGATTTATATGGCCTAGAGCTCTCAGTTATTCCTTACACACCAAAAGTCACACAATGCTATAATAGTTTCATGTATGGACATACGAAAAAACTTTGCAAAGGAAAGCAGAGGTGCATCCAATGCGCTGAAACTCTTTCCACAGAAGAAAATCACAACATTTGTGCAACTGAATGCTATCATTGTAAATCTGAATCTCACAAATCAAACGACAGAAACTGCCCAGAATACTCGCGCCAAGTAGCGATTAAAAAGATAATGATATTTAAAAATATATCCTATTTTGAAGCCTCCAATTCATGCCAAAAAACCCATCAAAATCCTTCTAATTTCGCCTTGGATCCTAGAGATTTCCCACCAACAAAGCCGGCAACAAAAAATAATAATATAACAATAAACCAAAGAAGAATTGTATCGCAAAACAACTCAAACAAAAGAACATATTCACATACCCTTAATAATCCTACGAAAAAAAGAACCACAGAACCAGGATACAACCGAGAGTTACATAACCAACAACTACTTCAACCTTACTCAAGACCAGAAAAATTCATAATCAACCAAGCCATGCAAGAAAGCCAGGATGCCTGTTACAACAATAACCCCTCAAATTCTAAACACAACATTAACCCTTCAACTTCTAAACAAGAATCAATGAAAACGACCTCAACTCTAAAGCCAGAACGTGCCGCGCAGACTATTGAACAATTTAACCCTATAGTAACACAACTACTTTTCCAAAAGCTATCTAAAAATACCCTAAGAGAGATATACTGCATGTTATCTTATATGATAGAACAAAACATGAACTCAGACGACTCTAACTTCTAAAAAAAAAAAAAAAATTCTATATAAGTAGGCTGAATAAAAGCCTATCCATACTACAATGGAATGCCAGAAGCGTCATACCTAATCGTGCCAATTTAATCAATCTCATAAGAAATCATGACCCAGACATCATAATCATTAATGAAACTTGGCTAAACCTAAACCCAACCATGAACTTTCACATCAAAAACTACATCTCCTTTAGAAAGGATCGCTATGATAGATATGGGGGTGTTGCAATCCTCATTAAAAATATCTTAATCTTCTCCGAAATAAAATAAGCCAATCCAATACAAGATAACATCTTAGAATACCTTATAATAAGGATTCAAAATTTAAACATAATAGCATGCTATGCATCACAACAAACTCCAAATCTGAAAGTCAGTTTACAGAAAATAATAAACCATCAGTTAACCGAAGAAACCATACTTATGGGCAACACAGATATTGGAACAAAAAAAGAAACACATAGAAAATTTCATAAGCCTTCAACACGCCATAGCCAAGAACAGGAGAACTTTCAAAAAAAAGAAACAGGAAACATTTAAACTATTCACTGCCACATTCAACAGAGACTCTAACATTAAACAAACATGGGAAAAAATAAGAAAGTTTTCGGGAAAACATAATCATGGGAACACTACAATAACTCCCAACCACATAAGGTTGCAAATCATCAGAAATATGGCTGTCGTCGACATAGTACCTGAATTTAACAAGAATCCTATAGAAAATCCTACTGAACTCACCATCAACGAACTGAACGCTGCTCTGAAAAGAAAAAAAGACTCTGCAGTGGGAATGGATGAAATCTCATACTCTATGTTATCCAATCTCCCTTTCGGAGCCAAATCCAATCTTCTACACACATATAATGAAATCTTGGTTGGTAATGAACTCCCTGCATCATGGAAACAATACCTAGTCTCAGCCATCAACAAACCCCACAAGGATCCGAGCCAACCAGAAAGTTACCGACCCATAATATTGGCCTCATGTGCTCTGAAAGTATATGAAATCATGATAAAAAACAGAATAGAATGGTCAATCGAAAATCGGTTAATTTCCTCCCCTTTTCAGACAGGATTCCGGAAAAAAAAAACAGCGTACATAACAAGTTGGCGCATATTGTTGCATACACCAACCTGGCCTTCACTCAAAATGATTCAGTGATAGCGGTGTTTCTGGATTTAAAATCAGCATTCGACGCTGTCAATATCTATAAACTTCACGAAAAACTCGAGGAAATCCAAATCCCCACTGAAATCTGCAACTCTATCCACAAGATTTTATTGAACAGGAAAATATACATCGAAAACGCACAAGGTCAGCTCATTGGACCCCAAACATCTTCTAAGGGACTGCATCAAGGCTCCCCCTTGAGCACAGTACTATTTAATATATACACAAATCAGCTACTACAAATTTTACCCGAAGAAATTGTTATGATGTACATCGCCTTATTCACCAAAAGGATAAAACATAGGACAAATGGTCGGGAAAATTAATGATTCTTTATGTCTGATCACACAATGGCTAAGGGCCAACAGCTTAACACTATCAACACATAAATGCCAATCAATTTTATTTACTAAAGGGAAAAGAAGAACTATTTACCCACCAGTCATCATCCAGGGGAAAAATTTTCAATACTGAATCTATAAAATACCTAGGGGTGATATTGGACAGCTCACTCAATCGGAACAAGCATATTGAATATATATCACAAAAGGCAAAAAAAAGGGATAAATATAATGAAGATTTTTGGTAAAGTTTGGTGGGGAGCCGACCCACACACCATGACCAATATATACACAGGATTGGTAATCTCACATATTGAGTATGGATCTTTCCTACTCAACCTAAATAAAAGAAACGCAACAAA